CTGGCTTTTTCCTTTAAAGTTGCTCATTGTGTCTACCAACCTGGTAAAGGGCTTAGAACACAAGTCTTAGGAGGAAAGGCTGAGGGATCTGGGGCTGTTTAGCCTAGAGAAGAGGAGATTGAGGGGAGACCTCATCACTCTCTACAACTGCCTGAAGGGCTGGTCTGTTCTCCCTAGTGCAGAGTGATAGGATGAGGAGAAATGGATTTAAATTGCACCAGGGGAGGTTCAGGTGGGATATTTGGAAGAATTTCTATACTGAAAGGGCTGTCAGCCATTGGAGCAGGCTGCACAGGGAGCGGGTTGAGTCACCGTCCCTGGAGGGTTTAAGAGATATAGATGTTGCGTTGGGGGAAATCGCTTAGTACGTTGATAGAGCTGGGACAGAGGCTGGACTCGATGATCTTCAAGGTCTCTTCCAACTGATACGATTCTATGAATCTATGATTCTATGATTCTGTCTCTTCTTCCCTCCTTCTGGGAGCAGGGTCCAGAGAGAAGGTTCCCTTCAAGTTGGCAACGAAGCCCCCATCGCCGGCTCTTCTCCGCTCGGTGCGACACAGCTCGATACGGACGGGGCCCTATGGCTGGGTGAGTCGGCGTGGGAAGGGTGAAACTCCTCTTGCTGAGGGGCTCAGGGCTGGAGCTGTGACATTGATGCTCCCTCACTTGTTTCAATGAGAAACCTTTGCCTCCCAGGGGGCTTTGATGAGTTTGACCTAAAAAATAATAAATCCCCTCCCTACTAGGGCAAGATACTTGGATAACTGGTTCCCAAAGGTTAAGTGGCTGAATGGAGAGAAGGGTACTTCTGTCTGGAAATACATAAATACCCAGATTTTGCTGCTAACAGAATAAGCAGAAATGCCAGAACGTGCCCGAATGTGCGGCAGAGTCAGTTCTGCTTGTGTTGACAGAAGTATTTTGATCCTGCAAACGGAGTTTGGCCCATTGCATCTATCTCACACTGTCTGTGGCAGATCTGTCAGCACAGGCAGAGGCTACATTTGTCCTGGAACAGCTCAAATCAGCAAGAAACCCACCCACCAGTGTGGGTGTTGTGCTTAACTGCAGTAATCTGGGCTGCGGGGATAGCAACATCCTTTTTGGAGCCTGAAGTGATGACGGAGGGATGCCCAGTGACAGGGGGTGCTGAAGCTCCTGAGCTTCATTGTTCCCTTGAGGAATTTTGCCTGATTCAGCTCCCCATGGGTAAGTTTAGGACTGGACTTGTCCTCCAGCAGGTGCTGTAGCAGTTCTAGCGTTCAGGCCACAGAAATCAGGGGACAGAAACATTCACCTTTTTTTTTTTTTTCATTCACCGTTTGTGATCATCTGTAATGAAGAAGCATTCTACCTGTACTTCTCAGGGCATCCATTCCTATGTTTCCTGTAGTTTCAGGTCTAACAATTTATGAAGAGTTCCTATACAAAAATGTCGCCTTACCTCTGAAAAGCCAGTATCCCAGCTGCCACTTGTCATGGAAGTCATGTGGAAAGCAGAATTTTTCCCTGGGAAATACCTTCTTGGCTTCCCCAGTGGCTCTTCCAAAGGTTTTGCTTGCAATCAGCCTTTCTTCATTTTCAAAGCCCTGGAGTGAGCCACTGGAGTGGAAGGAGAGGGGTTTCCCCCCGCGCTCGCGATGCCCCCTGGGACAGGGTGTCTCTTGGCCTCCTCCCCGACCTTCTGCTCTGTCTCTTGCAGGGGGAATGGAGAAGCTGAGCGTGGCCCACAAGCTGCCCAAGGCTTACAGCACCGGCTTCATTGGCTGCATAAGGGACGTGATTGTCGACCGCCAAGAACTGCACCTGGTGGAGGACGCTTTAAACAACCCCACGATATTACACTGCTCAGCCAAATAGACCCCCAGGGACCCTCCCTTCTCCTTCCCTCCCTCCTGCCTATTGCTGTAATTATTTTCTATTTTTGTAAACTTATTGCTTTTTATATTTTTGGGGGGGAGGGGGGGAAAGGGAGGGGAGGAAACACCTTTTTCTTTTGGGTTATTTGTTCGGTTGCGGTCTATCCAGGTCAGTCAGACTCTTAATCAAACAGCAGCAACAAAGAACAAACCTTGAACCAAGTCTCCAAGAAGTGACAGAAGAACTTCTCCGTTGCCACCTGCATTGTAAATCTTATTCATACTTGAAGCTTCTTTTTTTTTGGGGAGGGGGTTGTTTTTCCCCGCTCCTTACTTGTGTTCTCGGGTTGTTGCTCATGCCCGCGGGGGGAAAAAGGATGCTGGTGCTGGCAAGACACGTGGCCTTTGTGGATTTTTTTGCCTTCCCACCCAGGCCTGGCCCCTCTGAAGTGCTGGCTGAGCAGGGAGTCATTCATCCGAGAAATGGGAATTGCCCCCTTGCTCTGGGGCCGGGCTCTGCCAAGCCTTCTCCTTGGCCCCGTGTTCACCCTGTCTCCCTCTGCCCCCCCCCGCTTCCTCTCACTATAATTTATGTGTGTAAGAATCTCAAGTGCTTTTCTCCTTCATGCTCTGTTAAAATCAGGGATGCCGTGCACTGGAAGAGAGACCAAGGTCTGCTCTGAGCAGGCGGAGAAGCATTGCTCTTCGGTTGGCTTGTGACTGTTTGCTGGACTGAGAGGTGCTGGGGGGGAAATGTGGATTTCTCTGTTGGCTCTCCTCCTCCTCTTGGACGTGTGCAGCTGTGAAACCTCATTTCCACGCTTTGTGTTTATCCAGACGTGTCCTAACCACCTGCTTGCCCTGGCTGCTCTTCCCAAGAGCTTCTGTACCAAGCGTTGCCCTCCCATGCACCAGTGAGAACCTGCAGCACGTCTTCAAGAGCTGGGAGTGCTCTCCCTCTTCAGGCTTTGAGGGACTGGGTCCCTTTTTGCTTTCACAAAAAAAAAATAATCGGTTGGATGTGTCCTTCTGTGACCCCTGTCCTTTTCCCAGCCTCCGGGCATGACTTGCCCTCTGTCTACCACGAGGATGCTCGCAGCTGGCCAGCATCCGAAGCTCTGCAGAGCTGGTGTTAGAGCCTCTCTCTCCGTAAAATTGGAATTTTACCTTTGTCTTCAAGTTTTCACGATGCCCAGTGCAATGCAGGGTCTTCCAGCGCCGTGATCAAAGCTCCTCTGGATGCCCAGAGCCCAGCAAAGATGGAAACGGGAACAGGGCACGCGTCCGCTGTCGAGGCAGTAGCGTTTGGCGGGAGGTGGTTTTCTTTTTTTAAGCGCTTTCTTCCTCCGTGCCACCCTCGAAAGCAAATACCGTGGTGCCAGTTACAAAACCAGTATGTGTGTTTCTGAATGAGTGCGTGTGTGTGTGTGAGTGACAAAACCTCGCGTGCAAATGGCCCCGAGCAGGGGCAGAACAAACGGATTGCAGCTGTGGAAGAAATGACCCGCTCCCTTCAGCTTCCTTCTCCACGGGAAGAATTTACTGGTGCTTTGTAGCATCTATGTCCCTTTCCACCACTGGGACACAACTGTGTCCTTTTCCCACCCTGAAATGGCAGCTGGCATCGCTTTTGGGTAAAAACCAGCTTTATAGAGTGTAACAGAGTGAATTGGAAGGATCCTGCCAGGTATTGAGTGGTACTTACTGTCCAGGGTGCCATCACTTTGCAGTTTTACCCTAAATTCCTAGCGTACCTTCACAAAGCAGTGCACCCTTTAAAAGCCTTGGTTCTTGGCACTAAATTTTCAGCCCTGAAAAGTCAAACTGCTTTTCTCGGGGTGAGCTCTGAACACAGGTGGAACAAAGGGCAAGAAGAACATGGTGTGAAACCACTTGGATTTCCTTTTCCTTTTTATTTTTTCTTTTTTTAAAACTAAAGGAAAACCACCCGCCCCACCGACTCTATGCCTAATCTTTTGGCATTCCTCTAAAAAATCTAGTGGTTAAATATTTCACAGGGGGCTGTGCCCGCTGTGCGATGGGGACTCCGCTGTGTGTGTGTGGCAAAACCACATTTTAAGTGGGTGCTGTGTATAAATCGTGGTTCCTGGTGGGGAGTGCTGTGACTGTGGTGTGAAAGGAGGGATGAGCTGCGCTTTTTTGATCACGAGTTGCAGATGGATGAGGGCTGCGGGGTGGGAGGGGAGCGCCAGACCCTCGACCTGTGTTTGGGGAACTGCGTTGGCCGCGACTGGATGCGCCGACTCCAGAAGGAAGAGGGGCATGCACAGAGGAAGCTGCTAATTTTCTAAGAATGCCACTGAAATGAAGCCAGGGTCACTGCAAAGAAAAAAAAAAACAAACAAAAAAAACCACAAAAACCACCCAACAACTGAACGAAAAACGCTGTCTGCTTTTGCTGGGGCTTGGAAATGCCTTAAAACAGGACCTCACGTCCTTGTCAAGCATCTTGAACCAAGGTCAGATTCAGCAGTGCTCCCTAGGGGCTGTGCACTTAACTTCGGCTTTGTTTTTAATAGCATTTATAACATGTATGTACAACAAAAAGACATTGAGGTTTGGGTTTGGTTTTTTTTTTCCCAATTTTTTTGGGTTTGCTTTTTTTTTTACAAAAAAAAAAAAAATATGTCCACGCGGCTTCATTTATAGGGTAAATTAATGACCATTGTGAACTGCTGTATGAATTCTGAAGGGCAATGCACAGTAGAGGAGCAGCATGATGTAACCATTACTAACTTGTGTCTTTCGTCAATCACCATGAAATAAAGTTTGAAAACTATTAAATATGTTTTTAAGGGGCCTGTTGCTTTTTTATTCTTTTGTACTCTGTGCCTCACGCTGGTGTTTATCCTTCTCCTGGGCAGATACTGTGTGAAATGAAAGCAGTATCTCCCTGTTTCCTTTAGAAACAGAGTGGTTCATGCGTGTACCTGCTGTCCTTTCTAAATGCAGCCTCTTTACAAATGCCAACCTCCATCCTCTCCCCTCAATGTTTGCAGGAGGAAGACTCCTGTGTGCTTTTACTCCTTGTGACCATCTGATCGTGCTCTGAATGGTTTCACCTGCTCAAGCACCCACCAGCTCTTCCTTTTTTGCTTTTATTGCCTCTTCTGAGGGAGCATTTTCAAAGGAGGCTTTGCGTCCCGTTGGCATCACGCCACATCAAGACTGAGGTGGTGCCTCTCTGACTTGTTTCTCAGCGGTGGCAGCAGTTTCCCCTGGGTTTTACCCTCTGTGAGCTGAAGAGCCATGGAAAGTCAGTCGTAAGCATGCAAGCAGGATGTGGTTTGAGATGTACCAGCATCTAATTTCCACCCCCAGACAGGTCTTTTTAATGACACCTTTCTACCTGGACAGAGCCCTGATCTCCGCAGCTTGGTCTCTCTGCAGGAAGAGAAGGTAGGAGGTGGGGAATTTTGTTCCGTCGAGAGCTTACATTCATCCAAGTGGTGTGAAGTGAAGTGAGAAGAGAACGTGGGGTTTCCTGCCATTTGGGAGGCAGCTCATTTAGCAAACGGAGTCATTTTGGTATCCAGCGATGATGCGCGTTTGAGTGGTGGCTGCACCAGCTCGGTAGGAACCAGCTTTTCGATGGACAACGAGACGCCGAAGACTCACAATGGGGAAACAACGAGGCCAGTGTTTGAACAGCCACAGGAGTTGCACAACTCACAACCGGGGCCATGTTTTGCTCAAGATCAGCCTCCTGGTGCAGTGTCTTCTTGACAATGACCTTATTATGCCACGACAGGCATGGACTTGCAAAGTCAGTGCCTCTTCCGACGGCGTTTTGCCAGCTCACTGCAAAGCAGGACAAGAAAAAGCTGTCGTCGTCTCGGCCAGAAGCAAAAGCTGAGCTCTGGCAGCTGGATGGGCTGTTCGGTTTATTCTTTGAATATTTTTTTCCCCCTACAGGCTAAAAAAGCCCCATTGTGAGGAGGAAAGAGGAAGAAAAGAAGGACAGGGGGCACGCTTGGGCGGGCAGTAAGCGTGACTCAGGGGAATGGCCTGGCCACACTGTCTGGCAGCTCCCTGCTCAGTGCTCTCGGGAGCGTGGGCTCACTGGGAGCAAAGGCAAGCAGGCAATATCTTCAAGAAGGGGAAAGCAGCTGGAGTTGGATGGTCTTACCCATCCTCAGCTTGCTCTGGTACCACTAGCCTCCAGAAACAGCTAACACTCCGTGCCCAGGAGCTTCAGTCTGGGGCTAAAAGCAGCTTGTTCTGTTCTGTTCTCTTCCTGCCCCTGAGGAGGGTCCTGAAACCCCTTTCTCCTGCTCTCTGGACCAGCTATGCCAGACACGCAGGAGACTGGCAGCTCCCTGTTCTCCTGAGGTGCACAGCAGAGGAGGTGCCTCCAGCGAGACCTGGCAAAGAGAAAAATCTGTCCTTGCAGGGGGAGATGTGGCAGGACAGAGCCCAGCCACTGTCAAAGCCTCTCCCAGGCAGCCACCAGCTGAGAGTGAGCAGGTTAGAGAGCAGCGGGGGTCACACAGAACATCCAGCTGTGGTCACGGTGCATTTCTGCTGCAGGAGGTCCCCTGAGGGATGGGCACCATCCCAACACCAACAAAATGGGATATTCCAGCTACAGAGAACTCCCAGACCGGAATCTGTATTTTTCTGCTGGGTATTTCCATGGGATGAAAGCATTCCGATAGACAGGAAGACTAAGATCTCACAGGTCAGCACCGTTTTCACCAGTTATCCATGTCCCAATTGCATAGTCTGGAAGCCAGTACCTTACCAGAAAGAGTGAGATTCTAGGGGTTCCCTCTTGATCTGCTTTTAACCAAGAAGCTGAACATTAGTCCCTCCCTGACCATATGCTTTGCCCTGAGAAAGGGTCTTTCTCCCCCCTCCCCGCCGTACGAGCTGGGCGCGCACAGAAGTCGCAGTGTGGTCGCTCACAATGAAGTCTCAGTACTATGAAAGAAGGTCCCAGTGACGGGGAGCCTCAGTGGCAGGGGAAATGAGGAAGGAGAGGACAGGGGTCATGGTTATCAGGGTTGCTATTTGGCCTCTGTGGTCCTCGTTGCCCTGTGAGCAATCCAGTGGCACGCGGGGAAGCTATGCAACCCGCCAGTCCTCCTCGCTGAGAAATGAGCTGGCTCCTGCTGCCAGCTCTCTGGGTATTCCCCGAATAGACATGGAATTCGCTGAGTCTTATTATAGTTATAAAACTGCTATTTTTGCCACTACGGGTAGACGGGGCGGGGGCTCGCTGGCTGTATCCTGGTTTTTCCTCTCTCTTGGACAGCTGGCTTTGTTTTCTCACCCAGCATTCATGAAAGGTGCCAGATTCAGGGCATTTCTTTGGGTTACTTTCTGTCTTTCATATGAAGCAATGCGTATCTGACATGAGTCCGT